TGAAAAAGCTTTTGATAAAATAAGACACAGCAAACTATTAGAAATCCTGAAACAAGGGGGACTAGATAACAAAGACATCCAAATCATAAAGAATCGGTATTGGCATCAGGTAGCAAATGTGAGACTAGGCCAAAAATACTCAGCTGATGCAGAAATAAGAAGAGGAGTCAGACAGGGATGTATTCTGTCTCCACTGTTGTTCAATATCTACTCTGAGTCAATCTTCAACGAGGCACTGGAGAACATCAATTCTGGCATCAAAGTAAACAGTGTTTGGATCAACAACTTAAGATATGCTGATGATACAGTTCTGCTTGCCAGTAAGCATGAAGGCCTTCAGCTCCTCATCAAAAGAGTCACAGAAATATCTGAAAAATACTGCTTGAAGCTTAACACCTCAAAAACCAAGATCGCGACTTTCAACCCTTTGCAGGGTCTTCCGGCAGAGAAAAACCAGACAGCGGAGAGAGCAGCCTCCCCGCGCGCCTGCTGGCACCACAATCGCAAACCGGAAGCCATGCACCTCGGTTCTAATCTACATGAAAGCTGGGACATGACCACTGAAATAAAGACAAGGATAGAGAAAGCTCAAACAGCATTCTTCAAAATGAAAAAGGTCTTCTGCAGTCATGACATAAGGCTAAGACTGAAAATCAGGCTTGTCAGATGCTATATTTTTTCTATCCTGCTCTATAGAGTAGAGAGTGGTCTCTGACAGAAGGCCACCTGAAGAGACTAGAAGCATTTGAAATGTGGATTTACAGGCGGCTGTTACAGATAAGCTCAGTTGACAAGATCAGAAATGAGGAGGTGATAAGTCACCTGGGAAAGCCAAGGAAAATCATCAAAACAATTAAAAAACTAAAACTAGAATATTTCGGACATGTGATGCGACACACAGAAAAATACGGAATACTCCATTTAATCCTCCAGGGAAAGATTGAAGGCAAACAAGGTCCAGGCAGGAGAAGAACATCATGGTTTCAAAATCTAAAGGACTGGTTTGGACAAAACTCAGCAGCACTTTTTCGTGCGGCTGATACAAATAGGATCGCCAACATGATCACCAACGTCTGATAACGGATATGGCACAAGAAGAAGAAGAAGAAGATATGTCTTCGATACAGAATTCTTCTATCATTTTTGAAAACGCTTTAGGTAGTATATTTCCTCCTTTTCTCCCTTGCTTACGGCTTTTATAATCCAAAGTCGCATCTGCCATTGCATTAAAATCTCCCATTATACAAAGATTTTGGTAATTTAAGTCCAGTATTTTCTTATGTAGTTTTTGATAAAATTGCTCTTGCTTATCATTAGGTGCATATATTGCTACCATCAATATCTGTTTTTGATCCATCATAATTTCCACCATTAGTATTCTCCCCTCTTCATTTGCATAAATTTGTTTGGGGTTCATCCTTTCTTTAATGTAAACGGCTATTCCTCTTTTCTTTTGAGATGCAAGTGTGAAATAAAATTTGCCAATTTTTGGTTGTTCTAAGATTTTGAAATGTTGTCTCTTAATGTGTGTTTCTTGGAGGCAAATTATGTCCATCTTTAGTTTTTGTAGTCTTGTAAAAAAATTTCTCCTTTTTGAAGGAGAATTTAGTCCATTTATATTTATTGATAAAATCCCAGTCTCCTCAATCTCTTTCAATTATATCTAGGTCTCAGTCTTCTAGTCGATCTTATCTGTCTCTGGTCTCTTGGTCTTGCTCCTTCTTCTGAGTATGTATTTTTAACTTCTTCCTCCTCTGTTTGTTTCGCCGTTCCTTCCACTACAGTTTCTTTTTGTTTCTTTGATTCAGAATCACCTTTTTCTAGAAATGCTCTGTTACTTATTCACTATTTACCTCCTTTATTTAATTTTTAAACTATTAAATTGTTTACAAGAAAAAAAATTGGAAGAGATTAAGACAGTGATGGCGAACCTTTTAGAGACCGAGTGCCCAAACTGCAACCCAAAACCCACTTATGCATCATTGAGTGCCGGGTGGGTGTGGCCCATTGGGTGGCCGTGGCCCATTGGGTGGCCGTGGCTGAAGTGGTAACGACAGACTGGGTGGGACTAAAAAGTTCAATCAATCAATTCCAACTTTGCAAGATCTTTTTTTTCCCACGAGAAGTTGAAATTGATTGAACCTTTTTTTTTTTTTTGCACACGGTGGCGGAGGCATAAAGCGAAAAGGTTTTATAAAACCCAGCTGAAGGCCTAGGACCTGGCCGACGGTGCAAGTGCCCACAGAGAGGGCTCTGAGTGCCGCCTCTGGCACCCGTGCCATAGGTTCGCCACCACTGGATTAAGATCTCCACTCACAGTGCCACTTATTTTACCTCACATCTTTACTGTCGAAAAGTATGAAATCTGAGATACTTTTTTCTTCTTCTTATATACTTAAATTATTTAATTCTTCAGCCAGCACAAGAAAAACTAAAATTTTAGTTTGTCATGTTGGCAATAGCTGCAAAATTCAATCTGAAGTGCAGGCTATTGCATCCTGGACAGTTCCCTTTTGTTATGTCCACCCACCTTTCTGTGCAGAAAGAAATTGACAATTGTTTTTCTTTCTGTATGCAGATCCTACTGGATGTATGTACAGTTTTATAAACATGTGTGTTGTACATATTATATATAAACAAAAATATAGATACCCAAAATTAAGTTAAATTTATATATAGTTAAAGCATCAAAATGCCCATATATGGAAGGATAAGAACTACTTTTAAAATTAAAATTCTTTTCTTGCATCACTTTACACCTGATTTCTTTCATAGGGTTGAAATAGGACAGTGGCTAAGAGTTTGCTTAGATTAAAAGAGGTTGCTGTTTGGGAACCCAGCATATATTTTTGTAATTACTTTCTTTTCTTACAGAAAGAAATGACTGGGCATATACCATTTGATCTTTTCAAATGAGGTACAAGGGTTCCCTGAATGACTGGAGAGATGAGAAAATGATGCACACTCCTGGACTTATCTGAAATAAGATAGATCTATTTCAACATTGTGGTTATAAAAACACTCTAGACATTAATGATCAGGTCCACTGTTGACTCAGCCAAGGGGGCATCCTTCCTCTGTGAAGTAGCCAATGAATTTCTGGAGTTAGCCTGTAAGGAAATAAAGATCTCTGTTCAAAATGGACAGCAGCAGTCAAGGCAACATAAGAGTAAAATAGTTCTTGGAGCTTTTGGAACTTGATTGTATGCTTTCAGACATTTAATTACCTGACTAGGTTACATTATTAGTGCTAGTGAGTATGATGTTTGCTCCCAGTTTATACACCAGCTTTATGGGGGGGGGTGGTTCCTGGTAGTTTGTAAAATTTTCTGCTTGTTTGTTTGTTTAGCTGCATGAGTTCCTTGATTTATGTATTGTTTTCTGCTTGATTGCTTGTCTGGTGTTAAACCTTGCTTATCTGGGTGTTAGCTGCTGGGAAGATATGTTCTGATCTTTTTGTTTCTCTCTTAGCTTTTTTCTGGTATCTTTTGAATGGTGCATAAAGGTGGCTTATATCTAGGTATCTATTGATGGCTGATTTGGCTGAATGCCAATCTTCCAGGAGTTTCCTAGTATTTTTGGATTAGTTTGGTCTTGGATGCTCAGTTTCTGAGTTGAAACTATTGTTGAATTGTTCATCAGTTGTGAGATTAAGGAGCTTTCATTGTACCTTCTCACTGTTGGTTGTTGTTCCTGGATGTGCTCTGTGAATCTTCTGCCTGTCTTACTATATAGTGTGTGTTACAGTCCTTACACTATGTATTGTGGATGACTCCAGTTTTCTTCTTCTAGAGCTTCTGATCTTTTGGATTTCTTAGGATGTTTTGGAGGGCTTTGATTGGTTTATGTGCTATGGCAATGCCATATGGTTGTAATAGTCTGTAATGTTTCTGATGTATGACAATATTATTCTTTTCATAGTTTGTTTGGTTATACTATAATGGAGGAAGTGGTCAAGCACATTTTGATAAAGTTGCAAATATTCATTTTGTTGAATGATTTTCCCATTTGTTGTTGGATGATGTATTAATTTGTAATTAATTTGTTGTCATTTATTGTATAATAAGAAACTTCCAAGGAGAAAAACCACACTAGTAAGGCAAGCTACTGCATATAAAGAGGGAGCAAAACCCACAATCACTGGCACTCCTGATGTTACCTAGTTGAATATTGAAACATCTATAAGAAAACAACCAAGCTCAAAGAGCACAAGGACTCCACAGTTCAACACTGAAACTACAGATATTCTGTTCTATCAATACTGCATGAAAAGGAAAATCATGTGCTTGGTGTGCCTGGAGGTTACTTTTACAATCAGTAGATGACTATAAACAGATGATGTTATTGTTTCTGTGATCAGAAAACTCTTGCTGGGTCATTCTGGCAAGATAGTGGCAGGGAGTGGTTTAAGTTTAATGCTAGAATAATAGATTACAAAATATTATAAATTTAAATAAGAAAGCTGTAATCCTCAATTAACATGGAATATTTTAAGGTGAGATCTTTATAAACTTTTTTCTTATAGATTATAAACCTTTATGTTCTCAAGGTCAGCTAGACTAGGAAACCAAAGTCGTGTAGGGCAATGCTACTTTTATTGCAAAGACATAGTTAACAGAATCTTGCAAGTCTGAGTGCATTTCTCCCTTCCTCCCTTTATCTTCATGAGAACTATGAAAGATTGTTTCTGAGATGTTTTGTCTGGTTACATCAGCCCTCTTTTAACTGACTATTGTGTTACAGTTCTTTCTCCTGTATTTCTAGGCCATTCCTTCTGCCCTTTAAACAGCCTGAGATTTTGCAAAAGAAACTAGGCCATCTATTTTTCATTTGCCCTATTTTGGTCAACTCTCTTTCCCATATTCCAATAATCCCTTCACAGGATCTTGTATAGAGTGCCAGTTTTTAAAAGGCAAAATAAATAACATATCAGTCAAAGTACAAAGATGAGTATATGTTTGAATGTACAGATGACTGAATATTGTGGTTTCATCTTTCAGGCACTGATACAAAAATTTGCCTACAACTTGGGATATGACATAAAAAAACTGTTGGATTTTCCAAACATGTTACTCTGGAAAGCGTATGATACTTTGAAAGTTCAGGTACTTTTAAGACATTATTGTGCTCTCTCAAACATTTGTGGGCTGTGATTCATGATTCAAAACTCCATACAACTTCTAATAAGAACTTGAATGATCAAGTAATTGGTTAACTGCACTATGAGTGAAATAAAAGCAAAACAAATGTGTGTTTCCTTAAATATAATTGAATTCCATCTCTCCAAAACTCTAGTCATCTCTGACTGACCATAGTTTCTTTCCAGATACAAAATCATTCAACACATCTGAAAACAGGATATTTAAAAGACAAAGTTCTATTTAAACTTTAGGGGGAAATTGATCTTTGTGCAATTTGTCAGAAGTTGAGAGTATTATATGGGAATGGATCAGTAGATTCAGAGAGTCTCATTTTTATCTAACAAAAGGGACAAACTAGATCAGTGATGGCGAACCTTTTAGAGACAGAGTGCCCAAATTGCAACCCAAAACCCACTTATGCATCGTTGGTTCCGGGTGGGTGTGGCCCATTGGATGGGTGTGGCCCATTGGGTGGCCGTGGCCCATTGGGTGGGCGTGGCTGCAGTGGTAACAGCAGACTGGGTGGGACTAAAAAGTTCAATCAATCAATTCCAACTTTGCAAGATCTTTTTTTTTTCCCGCGAGAAGTTGAAATTGACTGATTGAACCTTTTTTTTTTGCACACGGCAGTGGAGGCCTAAAGTGAAACGGTTTTATAAAACCCAGCTGAAGGCCTAAAACTGGGGCGACAGCGGGCGTGCCCACAGAGAGGGCTCTGAGTGCCGCCTCTGGCACCCGTGCCATAGGTTCGCCACCACTGAACTAGATCCTATTTCTTAAATTATTTACACATGCACAGTAAACTATTACCATACATCTCTATTTTACAAAAACTAAGTGCAGGCAGAAAATTCCTGAAAACAAATAAACATATTCTTTCATTTCACACAGGGGAAAACATGTATGTACCTTTGAAAAGCCTTAGTAAAGAGATTTTCAGTTCACTTTTGCTGCCTGTAACAGCAATAGCAATAGCACTTAGACTTATATACCGGTTCACAGTGCTTTACAGTCCTCTCTAAGCGGTTAATATTAATAATGGCAGTGAGGCTTTTTCTACTCAGAAAAGTCTATGTACAAAATAACATAAGACATGGGATTATTACTAAGCATAGCTTACTTTTTTATCTTCTCTTATTACTATAGGAAATTCACAAACGTTTTTTGCCAAGATGGGCTGATAAAAAGACTATGGAACAGATGAAATTTCTGCTGGAATATTTGGTAAATGCCACTTTGGGGGGAGAATTAAAAAATGAGAAATCAAAACTACAAGGAGGCAAGTATTCTTTTAATTGTATATTTATTTGTTTAGTCTGATTTTCAGTTTTATGAAAATGTAAAATATATATCATAGTGGGAGCCTTAACATATGAATATATATATAAAAAAACTCTTGTGCATAATTTTTTTCAATTGTCAATAGATTTTAGAGATCAACTCTCACTTAGACACTTTTACATAGATGAGACTCTATTTAGCTCTTAATGTTTGGCTTAACTACCTAATGCTTAATTATTTCTCTGATCCTGTGCTGTCCTCTTCTTTTTTAAAAAAAGATGTAGTTTTTATTAAGAATTAAAACTAAGAATTTTAATTATAAAGGTAGCCACTTCATCCCATGGTGTTGGATAAGCACACTGCAGTCTCATGCACATGCTTAGTAGGAGAAAAGAAAGTACTGAACCCTAAGGCATGCCACGCAGTAGGGTATGAATGTAAAGTCTATCTAAAAAATAAATTGCCTCATCATTATAATGTACAACAGATTAATAGCAGAAATATGTTTTGAAATGCTTTTTGAAAGTATTTAATTATTATTATTTAAACATAATAAAAAACTAAATAGTACAGACAATGGTGTTATTTATGAACAGATTTCTTTAAAATAACAAAATCAGATGTCTGTATAAATACTTTTAAATTTTTATGTACTGGTAACATTTAAAAATGCACATTAATATTTCTATCCAAAGAAATATTTCTATATATTAACATGTTAAGAAGTGCCCATCTTCATGGTACAGTATTTATTTTTAGCATGTAGTTTGATTTATACAACTTTAAAAATGCAGAAAAATATCAGTAAAGTTTTCCCACTAAACTTTTCTTTGCTCTTGTGATAATTTTTTTTAGAGAATTTTATTTCATACACTTTTTACAATCCAAAGAAACATATTACTTTTCCATTAAAAATATATATTTATTGGCTGTGGAAAATCTGGAAGGTTAATAAGTAGAATACTTTATCTTGCATGAATTTATGAGTCTTGGAAAAATGAAGAGCGAGGCTTCATTATATTTATTTTCCAAATTCTTCAAAAAATGTTGGCCAAAATGCTTAATTTAATAAAAAAAAAACCATTTTACATAGTCAATACATTCACACAGCCTAGAAAAATATTGGTTAATATGAAGCCATTTTATGGGGTTCTAATACCGTTCATAAATTATTCTAATAATTTTATACCACAAAGAGTTGCAAACTCACCAAATTTCTAACCAAGTCCTTTTTCCATATTTTTCAAAATTTCTATTTTCAAATTCTACAGCTCTCATATTCTTTTTAATCTCAATGAAGGTATCCTTGTGAAACATATTCTGGAAAAAATTATCAACGCCACTAAGTACAGGGATGGATATAAAATGATAATGTATTCAGCAGTAAGTATTATCATTTATAGCACCCAAGGACCATGCAGCTTACAGACTCTTGCTATGACACAGCCATACATTCTTCTTATTAATAATATATTAATATACTGAAAATTGAGCTGAAGAAGATTAGAAGTGAAATGTCTTCAAAGAAAAACAAGAAAGTCCAGTTGCCTCGTGAAAAAGCATCTTTGGGATATTAATATACTACAGCATAGTCCTTGTCAGTTGGAAGAATTGACATGATCTCTAACTTTTGGTGACTAATTGGGGAAGAGATTATAAAATATATACAGAACATCCAAATTTAATATACATGACTGAATAAGTCTTTTTAAGAAATGTGTGAAAAACAAGGTTGCAATAGAATGTCAAATATTTCCATATTTTCAATCTACAGCATCATCTGCCCATTGATATAGCAATATAAATCATACTAATATTGATAAGCCACCACAAGGATGAGTGGAATAATTTATAAATTGCCAGTGGGAATATGCTTGTTAATTGTAGGGAAATAAGATTCAAAAGAACCAAAGGATCTCAGCTTCAATTCTTTATTTCAGTTATTTCCTCAGATAACCTTGTAAGGTAGTTCTCTTCGCAGTTAAAATGAAGAACTCTGCAGTTATATTTATTTACAGGTAATCCTTGATTTTCAACCACAACTGAGCCCAAAATTTATGTTGTTAAGTGAAACATTTGTTAATGAGTTTGGGCCTGTTTTACAACCTTTTTTGCCACAGTTATTAACTGAATCAGTTGATTCTGGCTTCCCCATTGACTTTGCTTGTGAGAAGACAGCAAAAAGTGGTCACATGACCCTGGGACACTGCAATTTGAACCAAATCTGAATTTTGATCACATGATCATGGGGATGTTAATACAATCGTGGGTTGTATAAACAGAGGCATAGAATCAAGATCACACAAAGTACTAGTACCGCTTTATAAAACCCTAGTAAGACCACATCTGGAATACTGCAACCAATTTTGGTCACCATACTACAAAAAAAGATGTTGAGACCTTAGAAAAAGTTCAGAGAAGAGCAACTAAAATGATCAAAAGCCTGGAGACTAAAACATATGAAGAACGGCTGCTGGACTTGGAATTGGCTAGTCTAAAGAAAAGAAGAAACAGGGGTGACATGAGAGCAGTATTCCAGTATTTGAGGGGCTGCCACAAAGAAGAGGGAATCACGTTATTCACCAAAGCACCAGAGGGCAGGACAAGAAACTGATAAAAGAGAGAAGCAACCTGGAATTAAGGAGAAACTTCCTGACAGTGAGGACAATTAACCAATGGAAAAGCTTGCCACCAGAAAACATAGATACTACATCACTGGAGCTTTTTAAAAAGAGACTAGACAGTCACTTGTCTGAAATGACATAGAGTCTCCTGCTTGAGCAGGGGGCTGGACTAGAAGACTGCCAAGGTCCCTTCCAGTTCTATTCTATTCTATGTTGCAAAGGTCATAAGTCATAAATCACAAGTCACATTTTTCAGTGCTGTTGTAACTTTGAACAGTCATTAAACGGTTGTAAGTCGAAGGCTACCTGTACTTAGGAGTCAGATCTACATGAACTATGTGGTATTTACTTTTATTAACATATGCTAAGGATCTCCCAGTCAATCTCTGATTGACTACCTTTGGCCTAACTGAGCAGTTATGGGAAGGCTGAGGGCCCCTATATGAATACGGCCACATTACACAAGTGCACTGAATTTGGAGTGATAATTTGGAAAGTTTTCTTTTTATCTATTTTATTTTATGATAGGGCTTATTCAAACATTTTTATGCTTCCCATCTCAAAGTGACAAAGTACTGTTACTGTACTATATATATATATATATATCTGGGCTGCAAAATATTTGTTCTATTTGAACCTGAAACAATGGTGTCACAGAAAGGAGACTGAGGAATAATGGGGTACCCACTGAAGTCATGGCTGGCTGTAATAGGAACTTCTCTACATTTGTCTCCTTAGAGTTAAGAAGTTTGAGATATTAAATACACTATATATACACACAATTCAAGGTTTTACCATTTTTCTTTCTATTTTAGCATGATATGACAATCATTGCTCTCCAAACAGCACTTGGTGTTTACAACCAGTTATTACCTCCTTATGCTGCTACCCATATTTTTGAGCTATATAAAGAAGACAAGGGGCAAGTATTAATTCACAGATACAATAAATAACCATGATTTCTTCAGTAAGATTTTGCATACTGTAAATATATTCACACTCTCATAGTGCACTGAATTCAATTTACAAGAACATATCCATTTGGAAGAGAGAAAGAAACTTGTAGTTCTCATTTTGTATGTCCTATATTGTCTGTTTCCCCCCCCACACACACACACACACATACACATCCATGTTTAGGCCAATTCTTTTCATTGTGTGAAAATAGAAATAGGCATTTGTGCTGTAAACCAAATAGAAGAGTAGTAAATTCTATTAATACTATGATTGTTCTTTAATGATATATTGATTTGCCTTTCTTCCTCTTTGGGATGATACATATTCAGAGGTTATACTATTGAGATGTATTATCGGAACAGCACTGCTGTTGAACCCCATTTGCTCACTTTGCCAGGATGCACAAAGGCTTGTCCATTAAACAAGTTCCAACACCTGGTTACTCCTATTTTACCAACAAAGGAATGTTGAAAGAGGTAAGACATTATCATGTTTTCATCTATTTACCTGAGATTTTAATAAAATAGTGGAAACAAAATTAACAAGAGGTTACCTACATTTCCAGATCCCTTTAATATGGTGCTTTCCAAGCATTTTTCTTCATCACCAAAAACTGCATATAAAAAAGTCCTTTTTACTGTGTATTAGAAAGTCCTTATTTAAATGTCCCTGTGATTGGATAATGGATTTGTGTGTCATTATCCAAAGCATTTTTACTTAATATTGGGTAGTTTATACAGATTTGAGAAGCACTGCTTTAACATAACTGCTATTTTTCTTCAGAAGTTAGGTTTTAAACTTGAGGAATTCAATACCTCATTTCATCTTGTCTTATTCTAAAATATTAAAAGCCTACTAGTCTTTTTACTACTCCACTGCTGAATGTAGGTTTAGAGTATGTTGGAAAGGACTCTACTCTATCTCCTTACATGAGATTAATTAATTGGTATGAAGGAATGACAATGAAGGAATAACAATTCAGTGTCTGATTTGTAGACTCAGGTGAGAGTATCACATTATGGAAGAAACCAATTGTCCAATCAAGAGCTAAGGAGAAATTTCCTATCAATGAGAACAATTAATCAGTTAAATGACTTGCCTCTGGAAGTTGTAGGTGCTTCATCATTGGAGGTTTTCAAGGCAGCTAATTGTTCGGAATGGTGTAGGATCTCCTGCCATGATTTGGATTAAAAGACCTCAAAAGCTCCTCAAAAGCTCCTTCCAACCCTATTATTCTATGTTCTACAGAAACCATTCTCTAGAAATCATACCTATTTTCTGGAAAATATATTGCAGTAGACTTATGGTTTAAACACAAGTTAGTATATACCTTGTATATCTTATCATCAATCAGCCACCCACATACATGCATTGGCTATTAATCTTGATGGCTAACAATTGTTTTCAGTATCAGAAGCAGTATATTTCAAATACAATGAGTCCCAAAATTCTTAATGCAGTTTTAAAAGCATAAGATTCGTGTATTTAATGTGTAATTAGTTTGTCCACATTTCCCAAATATGTCTTTATAAATATTAACATTGAGCATTCTTGCATTTGGCTCTTCTTTCTCACCATTTTCCAGGAAGAAATCAAAGCAATGAGGAACAAAATAATCAACATCTTGAATGGAAGGTCAACAATTACCAGAACAGTGAAAATGTTTTTAAGATTCCCATAATCAAATCACACTTCTTATGACTCTTCTACTAATTAAAAATAAAAAAAATAAAGTGGGTTTTTTATCCTGCTGTTTTCTTCCATCCCCTGAAATTGTAGAGTTAAATAATGTTCATTAGAATTCCATTCTCCATGAAATATAGAAGTCATATTAATATGACTCCTTATCATTCAGATAACAATTTTATTTATCTATTGGTTAGATTACATGAAACTTACACACACCAAAACTATCAGGGAGGATTTCAGGAAGGTTTTTAAGAAGAGATTGGACAACTATCTCTCTGAAATGGTATTGGGGTTCTTGCCTGAGCAGGCGATTGTACTAGACCTTCAAGGCCCTTTCAACTCTTGTTATTCTGTTCTGTTCTATGTGACACACAAGGATCCCTGGGAACTTCTGATATTTTCATGATATGTTGGAACAAATTAATTACACCAGAAGTAATGTATTTGACTGACTGATTGATTGATTGATTGATTGATTGATTGAACCATGTAGGAGATGACCAGGCTAAGCCTGAGGGAGGGGTCAAACACATCATCAGTCCCTTTGTGCCCAGAAGAGATCTTAGTCCAGCCCATCTTGAGTTCTGTTGATTTTTATCTACCACCAATTCATTTTGACCATTAATAGTCCAGATTTTTGTAGAAAGTGTTAGCTTGCAATAAACCTGCATTCATTGGAACTGCTTTGTCTCCTGATTTCCTGTGCTTGACATTAAACTACTCTACAACACCAAAAATTTCCATGGCCTCTGAAAGACCCAAGCAATGGCATCCAATCCCAGAACTGCAGCAACAGCAGACGAGCCGGATGCCAAAATGGATTGAAAGACAATATGAGAAATTTAGCAGGTAATGTGCATTAGATATTTCAGCATGTACAAGTCCTGAATCAACAAATGCCTCCCCGGCAACTCCCACAGACTGCTGCACCACCCAGGGCCAAATACCAGTGGCCACCACACTGATTCCCAAGATTCTTAGCTGCCTATCACAGAGATTCAAAAAGATGAGAGCATTCCTAGCTCAGTGAGAAATATTCATTGGCACCCTACCAGGGCAGTTTCCCACAGACAGATAACAAATCTCCCCCATCCTCAGTCTGTTAATTAATTCCACTACCAGGTGGGCATTTCTACTCATCAAACACAACAACCCCATCTTAGATAACTTCCAGGTTTCCCAGGTTTAAACAACACTCTGCAGATCCCATTCAGATGGAGACTGCTGATCAGTGCTTCTGCCAGCTTCGACCAGGCAACACCACCATGAGAACGTATGTTGAAAAATTCAAACTTCTTGCATTTATTTATTTTGAAACAAGTCAGCCCTGATCTCACAGTTTAGAAGCGGGCCTAACAGGAGCATTGCCAAAGAACTGAAAGAATTCCTTTACACAAGAGAACATCTACCTGGCCTCTAGAACAGCTGAATCACATTTGCGGAAATCTGGGCCCTCTCCAGCAGTCCCTACAACCTGCCTCCACAGCTGCCACCTCCCATCACCACCCTGAACTTTCCGACTACTCCAAATCTGAAGGGCAAAGAACTGATGCAAACTGGGGAAGCCAGACAAACCCCAGCTGCAGGAGAACAGCAACAACATGTTTCTACTGTGGAGAACCCAGACACATGGTTAAGGACTGCCCTACTAAACCTCCCAGCTGAGGAAACAGGAAGCCCAGCAATGTTTCTGTTACTCACCACCAGGGCAGCAAGCTGCAATATGGCAAGAGATATGGCAAAACCCCATCCTGCAGAAACTCATAGGGAGGGGCTACCAAGTACTGAACAGGACTTACTTGCATTCATGCCAGAGTATAAATTCATGCCAAACTAGATTCTATCCTAACCGTCCCAAGCAGTCAGGAAATGAACATCACCATTTTGATAGATTCTGTGGCAACAGCCAACTTTATAAGACTCGTCACAGTTCAGAAGCTCAAGAGTCCCACTGTCCCTTTGAAATTTCCATTGGAAATAAAAACTATTGATGGTCGAATCTTAAAAGCAGGCCCAATCCCTCACACTAAAATGCCATTACAATTGACAATAGACCAGAATTCCGAAAAGTTAGCCCTTTTAGCATCTGACCATATTGATCTCTTACTGGTTTGAGAATTACTCAGTTGCTACATCACAACCACATTATTAGGTAAAATAATGATCTATTTTCTTTGATAGTCTTCACTGCCTTTCTCACTGCAATTGGCCCTCAAAAACCCCCACCAGCCAACCCTGAAGGCTAACAGAGAGATTCCTTTTCAAAAATGTATATATTTACATTAATATATATTTTAATGAATATATTTATTATGTTTTACCAATAGAAATAAAATATACAACAGAAAAAAACATACATCCAATAGTAACAACAACAGAAAAAGAAAGAAAATGTATACATAAAAGGAAAAAGATTTAAAAAATGACCCAAATGAAACATATAAAAAAAATCCAACCTGGCTGTATGCTGAAAAGAAAAATAAAAAATACCTGATAAATTCTCCTTCCCTTAAATAATGGGTCTATAAATAGTTATAAACTTTATCATCCTTCTTTAACAAAAAATATTATATAAACAAATATTTCAGATGAAGTTTCTATCTAATAATAACATTGATTCAACATCTAATATATGTAAAAAAAAAACACTCAAAAGGTTAGTCCAAATATTACACTAGTCTTCAAATCCCTCTGTTAACCATCTGTTATTGTATTTAGCACAGAAAATCCACAAATGGCTTCCAGGCTCTTATAAAGCTGTCCAGTTCATTATTTCTAATCAAGGCAGTTAATTTTCCTAATCTCCCAAACAGGTATGCAGACATCACTTGTCTTTGGCGAGTAAGAAGCCTCTGACCTTCCCTCACATAGAGAGTGTAATCTTACCCTAAACCTGGTTCCTGGTGCCAAAATTCCCATCAAGAGGCAGTATCAAATGTCTACTAAATAATTTGAAACCCACTCCCTGTTTGGACTCTAATTCGCAAAAGGGATTCGTACAACCATCCCAATCTCCCTCCTCGGCTCCTACCTTTTTCATATCCAAGAAGCATGATCCCAGCACACCTGGTGAAAGTGGGACCTCCCTCTGAGACTTGTACACAACTACCAATTGCTAAACACAGTGACAGGAGAGACCATTACCCATTGCTGTTAATTCCAGATCTCTTAGATAGACTGCAGAAAGCACACATTTTTACAAGATTAGACCTCTGCAATGATTACAATCTCATTAGACTCAAAGAGGGCCATGAATTTACTTAATTGCCTTGAAAATCATATGCAGCAGTTTGAATACAATTGGATTAATAAAGGTGGAGCCCATATTTTCCAGATTGATGTACCTGGTCTTTCCAGACCTCATTGATAAATTCATAGTCCCCTATCTGGATTTAATCTGAGAATGAAGCTCAGCACACAGATGAGTAGGGATAATTCTTAGTAGATTAGGTAGACTTAGTGGACTAAGAGACAATCATCTCTTTTCCAAGGCAGAAAAATAGGCCCTTGATCTGCAATAGCTAGACTTTTGGGGATACTGCATTTCCACAGGAGGCATGGAAATGGATCCCCAAAAGGCCCATTTCTATACTGGAAATCTTGCACACAACCAAAGATGTCCAATGCTTCTTGGCTTCTTCAGAAAGTTTATATCCAGTTTTGCTCACAAAGCCAAACCGTTCAGCCAACTGACAAAGAAAAAAGTGAAATTTTCTTGAACTTCTACACATCAGACAGTATTCTAAGGGTTAAAGCAGCTTTTTGACCACAAGACCCTCCTG